GATACAGAGATGTGATGACAATTACCCATGAATCCTAATTACACCGCCTCTCTGAACTATTCCTGGCTTTTTCTTCACTATTTAGTCACTGCCATTGCATCTTTGTATTTGTCAATATTTCACGTAGCTTTAAAACCTCATTCCAATCCTCTGACCTTTTAAATATGAATACAAATTAGGGTAAAAACTATATTTAACTATATTTAATTGTGTGAGTTTAACCCTCTGGGGATCGTATTATATCTTGGTCTAATGAGCACAGGAAGTGTTTCAAGATGTTTTAACACCTCATCATTTCTCTTTATACGACTGAAACAATTATTAACACTAGAAATTGTGCGCCGCACCCTTCTCCCTTTATCTGTTGAGTAAGACTTTGTAGAAATAAACTTAAATGTGGAAATTCATATCTGTTTGCGCAACAAAGACATTCCAAAAAGTGCTAAATCAATCTTCATTCAAAGATAACTTTTTTATTGTCACAAGTTAAGGGTGCGTTTCCGACATGCGTTCTCTTAATTTCAGCTGCATGAGTTTAGTCAGTCTGCATTGCCATGCGATGGAGAAAAACGCAGGGCTAGCAAGTTTAATCTAGCGGCTTTTTGTGTAAAGTTGTCATCCACGAGTGCAGTCTCTGTGTCTGAGATCCTCCAGAGACGTCATATTTTAGCTATATCTGCTCACAGAGCTGCACCATATGTATTTCATTATTAACCGTTACTTCCGTATTGGCAAACACGTTAGCAGCACTTGTATCCAGTGACAGTAGAATATCAACAGCATGTAGACATACTGTCTGTTATGTGCACTGCGTTCCCCATTGTCAGCGCTGGTTTTATCCTTGTTTTGGTTGTTTTTGAGTGTCTTCGTCTTCCTATTATGACTTGCTTGTTTCTCTGTGACCACTTGGCTGTTCTCTGATTGGTTGCTGAATGTGCGTGAGCGAGGATGTTCAGTGAATTCCATCCCCTGCGTTGCGGCATTCATCGAGACGCTGTACCCTCCGCCTCTGCTGCGCTGCAAAAGCACATGATCCGGTGTGAACGCAGCTCAAGGATGTGCCAAAATATCAATTTTGCAATATATCAAGTCTCACAATCAATTAATAGGTTACTTCAAAAATATGATAATTAACCTCTTTTTGAAACTTAGTATGAGCTACCATGGCATGTTATACCTAATTTTAAAGCATATTGTCTCAGTAATATAACCACAGTTTCTCTATAGATTTAACCCAAAGGCAAATTCAATACCCATTGATTTGTTGTTTTTATTTTTGTAACTGATTAGTCAACAATACCAAGCCTTCTTTTACAGTTCTTTCAGTTCAAGCACTCCTGTAATTATTTTGTTCAGAAAAGATTACAAGAGAATGAAAAAGATAATATACAATTATAAGGAATTATTGCCAATTATATGAGCAAATATCATACTTGAATTTATGTTTTATTTATAATGATTTTGTTTTTACTTTAAATATGTGGGATAAAAAAAAAAAAAACATTCTTAACGCCTGCTAAGATAGAGCCGGACATAATCATCAAAAGACCCACGTCATAGGTTCCTGACCTCTGCCTTACACAATATTTTACATTTGACATTCCACTTTCTATTTCGTACTCTGCGCTTCAATTTCAAAAGCAATTCTCTGTCTGAAAACTCGAGAAAAGCCACCATGCAAAGTAATTTTCATTTTTGCAACAAAAAAATACAAAGATGCAGGTTCCTTCTCATTAGGTTTCAAATAATGAGTCAAATGCAGAGATGTACTTTCTTAAGCGAACAATATGCCTTTGCTTACGACCTGAAAACATTCCCTTAATTTCATCTTAATGACATTGGTGGACCACTGGCTCAGAGTAAACCACATTACACAGTGGACTCCTGCATCCGTCCTTTCCACACTCCATCAAATCAACAATTGACCTGTCATTCACAGCAGGGGAAGAGGCAATGCAGCCGCCCGCGTGCTCCCTCTAGGATACCCAAGGTCATAAATGCAGTATGAATTATAGAACGCTATGTAATCGTACAATGCTACAACTATTTGTGTCAACAGAAGCAGAGACAGAAACACATCCAAGAGTGCGGTAATTTGATCAGTTGGAATCAATGTTATGAACACTGATACTGTACTATATTTCAAGCTCAGTTAGACCTGCCCATATTGACACCCACTGATTGGACAAAATGAATTCAAATCCTTGCCATTGGTCGAACTATTATCTTACAGCAAATATTATTGGTCATTGTTTTGCCAAGACGAGGGACTATTTGAAAAATACTACTTTAGAATATTGACTCTGTATGTGATTATATGGAGTCATAATCATCTTTGATCACAAACAATATAATCCAAAGAACATGTCCAATATCCTCGTGAGAATACTAATTCTTAATTTTTTTCTGTTTTATTTCTTATATATTATTCAGTCTCGCAACAATGTGAGTAAGAGGACCAAGAAATCAAAGAACATTTCTGGAAGAAGGGGGGGATTTTGCAATTCTTCCCACTTGTATCTTTGTAATTGCAGATATGTATCATTTTTGCTACATACTTAGTTAGTTTCTCAGACTTATAGTGTCCTTATAGTGGCCTGCTTGAAAATTGTCTAATCGATTAATAACACAATGGCTTATGCTTCTATTTCCATGAAAAGATGACCATTCCTGCACACCAGTAGGCTAAATCTAAGGCAAAAATCTGCCTGATACTCAGGTCAGTAAAACCAAAATATTGTAATTAAATTTGACAAGAGTGAGGCAGTGTGCGGGAGCTTTTGGTTTCAATACCCTTCAATATTTACCATGGAAACAGATCTGTATTGTGATCAAAACAATAACTTCAGCATAGACTCAAATGGCAGCCTTCACTGTAGTTCATTATTTGAATATAATCCTGAGTGACGTTAAGACGCTATTTAAACATTTCACTCGAGAAGCCATGGTGGTCTCCTGTCCCCTTGTTGTTCTCTGCTAATGATGTCCACCCCCTGTTGTTGATTAGTCACCAATATCGACTGGGCGTAATCCATTTGTGCCTGCACTCGTCGAAGGGCTCTGGGAATACAGGTGTTTCTGCACAAATGGGTTTTCAAAGCCAAAGACATCTATGACAGGCTCAGAAGGTTGAGTGGGAGGTCCAATATCCACAAGAGGCTTGGCCAATGTTCTTTTTTTATCAAGGCTTCCTAAAACATCTGCTGTGGAGTCAGATAAAGGCTTCATTTATTGGGAATCTCTCTGGAATTTTGCTAATCGTTGCACCAATAACACTGAACATATGACCCGTGTTACTGATGTATGTACCATGTTTTAATCAAGAGCTCTGCAATTAGTCATATTTAATTAAGATTGAGCCATTTGTAATTGTCAATTATACACTGTTTTATAATACAGAAATCCACATTGGCTGCGTCCATAAAAGCATGTTTTTTTTTCAGACTGTTAGAGATTTGGCTATTTGTATAATGTCAGTCTTGAGGCTAAGTAAATTTTATAATGAACCCTTATAATTTATTTGTTTTCTCACGAGGCAGCGTTTTGCCTTTCGAAATATAAAAACCACATAAGATTATTGATAAGATTTTTTTTAAACTGTTATTCATATAGTTAAACTAAAGATTTGTTGGCTGGATTTAATTCTCAAATGCCTGTTACACCTTTGGGGGAACCCTGAAGTTGCTCTGAGGCCACAGACGCCACTTTGGGAAGCACTGCTTTAGTCTATCATGCCTAATATAAAAAAACATAACATCCTCAAGTGACTTTTAGAGCCTGGAAGAAGTGAGTCTGTTTGTGTATATTTTACAGGATAATTTATCAGGAATATACATGATCACAGTATTGCTTTGAAACGGCAGAGATATATATTTTTGTTTACTTCTCAGACATCCTCAAATTGACAATAACTTAGAAATAATAATAATAATAATAATAAAACACATGCTACAACTAACTATAGACACATTCTATACCTTTATCTGTTTGATGCTTCTTAAGATATTGTTAAAAAAAACAAAAAACATTGATTTAATGCACCTGATGCAAAAAAAGTTCCCACTCCTGCAAACCTTTCTCCCTCGAGTGACATTTCCACTTCGATTTTTAAAAGTAGGACCTGAGGTAAAATTAGAAAGGTCTATTATTATATTTGGAAACAGAGTGATCGAGGCGGACAGCTGAGTGGAAGGCGGAGGTTTTAAATGTGCCTCAGTATTGTCGCTGTCTTCTACTTCCTCTGACCTTTTCTCCATCTCCTTCTCTCCATTTGTTTCTGCCTGACGTTAATATATTCTAGTGCGACTATTGCTCTCCTTATGACTCCTTCATTTCACTGGAGCTTGAATTATGACAAACCACCGACAATACGTGTACCCCTCCTTACTTCTCAGTGTCTCTTCATTCTATTTACAGTTTTATTCTCTTACACTTATTTCCTTGGCAAGTGAAAAACTACTTTTTCCTGTTGCACAAATACTATGTACCTTATCTTGGGCGGTTACATTATATGTACGATAAATATATTCCAGCAATTTATCCAGCATTAATTTTCTTGAACCAGTGGTTGCAGAGGAGGCAGTCTGAGCAGATACTGCCTTCCCTTCCTTTTCAACACAAACTTGATCCCCCTTGTCTTTGGTCTCCTCTGAAACCTCTTCTTCCATCTTTTGCATAGGTGCCCAAAACTTTGTATTGATTTGATGATATTCCTCGACTATTCTGGTGGTGAACTTTTTGTGTGTGAACTGGTCTGATACCGGCTTCTTGTGATCGATTTCTTTGCTTGAAATGTTGCCGAGTTTGGGTTGAAACATGTACATTCCTCAGTTATGGAGGATTTTTGTGTTTAAATAAGAAACCTCTACATTGACATAACTTTCGTCTGTAAAACATTAGAGGCAAATGATAAAATACATGCCCTATGCATTTAGGTATACTTTCCTAATTGTCATGTATTTATCCACTGGTATTTATTGCTCCTCTCCTCTCTCTTTCAGCACTGGTTAACGGAGCTGGAGATTTTTGCCATGATTTTTGCCGCTGCCGTGCACGATTATGAGCACACTGGGACCACAAACAACTTCCACATTCAGACAAGGTAATGGATGGTCAGATCAAAAATGCATGGCCCTGCTGCAGTAGATCAATGTGTTCATTTGGAGCTAGGCATTTCTCCATTGACAGAGAGGCCTACAGTGAGCTAATGGTGCAGCGTAAAGCCACGTGTGCTCACATTGACTGCAGGCTCTGTCCATGCACTCAACACAAACTCCAAAAGGCATCGATTAATTTTTGTGTGTTTTAGACCCTGAAAATGTTCCCTAGCAACAGTGTTATGATCGAATATACTCTAACGTTGTGATAAAGACTGCATTCAAGCAACAGCACATGGGAAAGCAACATATTGTAAATGTAAATGTGCACTTTATTTAGCCCTGTAGGGAACTTTGTATACGAATATTATCCAAATATGTTATTGAACTATTGTCTATCTGCCTGGCTTGCGTTTATGTTATGTCATAGTTGCTATATAAGAACCAAAGAATAGTTTTTTTATTTAGTTAAAGAAAATGAATATGGCTCTACTGCAAATGAACCAGAGTCCTTTATTAAACTAGTTTCTAACAGGTTTTGACCAGCCGCATGGTCTTTGAGGTTGGAGTTAGGGCTGGGCAATAAAAGGATAACGATATATATCACGATAGACTCGTGTTCGATATCAATAGAAAACAAGGTCGATAGAATGTTCGATAGTTTAACTTCACTCCGTTTGAAAAAAACAGGAAGTAAAGCCGAGTCAGAAGCGCGCGGCATTCTGGGGGATGTAGGCAGAGGTTTCTCGACCTATCACATCCAGGCAGGAACCACAAAACATTCTGGGAAATGCAAAAACAACAACCGCACCACATCTCCAAGCTCAGACACATGGTCTGGAAATGATTTTCCACAGGAGAGCCCACATTACTCCTATCCTGAAGTCCTTACACTGGCTCCCTGTCTCACACAGAATCAATTTTAAAATTCTAGTGTTGACATTCAGGGCTTTTCATGGTCAGGCGCCTGAATAAATCCAGGGCCTGATCCACCCCTATGTTTCCAACAGGAGTCTGAGGTCCTCCACTCAGAACCTGTTGATGGTCCCCTGCACTCGCTTTAAAACCAGAGGAGACAGATCCTTCCAGGCAGTTGCTCCTCACCTTTGGAATGGGCTTCTTCAGTCTCTGCGCATCTTAGAGACTGTCGATGATTTTAAGTTCCAACTTTAGACGCATTAGTTTGGACAGGATTTCTCGCCTCACTTTTCATAGGTCGCTGTGAACTATGTAAACTGTGTTTTTCTGTTTTTAAATCTGACTTGTATGTGTATTCTATGTGTTTTAATATGTGAAGCGCTTTGTGATCCTGGTCTGTGAAAGGGGCTATAAACTTTACTTACTTACTTACCATGTGTAGCGTCAGTGGATCTAAAGATCGTGTTTCAGTGCCGTGTAAATAGTTATGCATGTAGGTAGAGGCAGTGGGTACAGAGACTCGATGCATTCGGCGAAAGCAAGAGATGAACTTTTTCCGGAGCCGTCACCAGGACACAAGACACTCGAAAGCAGCCAAAACAGGAGCTAAACCAGGACTAAACTAGGATTTATCCAGGTCTAACAATTTGGGACACTGTGCTTGTGAACATATTCCTCGAGCTTCATTCCCCCATGACTGTAAACAAGGCTGCTAACATGTGTTAGCCGACACGATAAATGTATTTATTTAAATAAATAAAAATTTAAAAAAATTAATACATATCGTTATCGACCGATATGAATTACTTATATTGTGATATAGTTTTCAGCCATATCGCCCAGCCCTAGTTGGAGTCATATTTTAGTTAATCCATTTGACTGTAGAGAGGGTCAGTAACATTCACAATGCTTCTTTATAACATGCCTTTCATTCCTTTGCTTGTTCTTCGTCTTTTATTATATATCACACTTGGTTAACTAATTATATAGTTCTACCCTTTGTCGGAACTTATTACAAGTCACTTTTCATTTAAGTAACTTGATATGCAGTAGATTCATGCCTTGTGTATTAATTCTGCTATACAAATAAACTTGCCTTGCCTACCTTGATATAGTGAAGCAGTATTTATCTGTTTTTTAAAGTTGAACGACATATGCCTTATCCAGGGGGAACGGCAATGCATGAAAGTTCTGCTTCCTCCAATTTGAGGTTCAGTGCAGAACTTTGGTCTTAGCAGCTTTAAGATAGAAAGGTCATTTTGATCTTCAATTAAAGCTTTTAAACCTGGATAGTTTTCATGAATAGTCAATGCTATTATAATATATTACACTTAAAATATGCATTTTTTAAGTTACAATAACAAGTGTGGATGTTGTGAGAAAAACTACAGCAAACAGTTAAGTAGACTTGATGACAGAAAGGGCTGAGCAGAAATGTGAGTAAATCTAACATGAATCATTAGGACAGATATAGAAAGGTCCTCTATAAACCTGGGCAGTTTTTAATTAATATTTCTATAATAATATGCTTAAAAGATATAAATGTTAGACAAATAGACATTTTTGTTGTTGAGGGTGATACAATATCTGATTTTGAAATGTAACAAACTCAAAAATATGTTCTGCTCGTTTGCAGCACCTTCCTATTCATACACTTTACAATTACAATTTTGCCAAAAGCTGGTCCAAAATAACATTTTTTTTTGGCCCCTGAAAACAAATGGGGCTGAGTTGTGGGTGGTCACTCTCAACTTTTTATGGCCCAAGGTAATGGGAAACATAATAGTAGAAAAAAGGTAGCATGAAACCAGCCCCTGTTCTAATAGATTCATAGATCATTCCTCATTCTGAAGTTTGCCAAAGTTATGGCTAAATACAAAATATATACTTCCCCACTGCATGACCTAAAGTCGACTATATTTCCAAAAGCAATCAGAACCAAGGCTGGCCTTTCTCACCAAGTTTAGCTGGTAATGTTTGTAACCTGAAAACAATACATGTTGCTTTGTCATTGCCTCGTGTTGGTTTATCACTAGTAATCCATCAGCTGTGTCCATTAAGGAACATATTTTATTTATGTGGGAGTAATAATTAACGTTCAGGGCTGCCCCAAAGTAAACAAATTATATTTCTAGAAGAATAATTACAAGATACTAGCATAGACGTATGAGAAAACAATGTTATCAAATAATGTTGTGTAAAAACCATTCTGTGGCATTTACTGACTATACATTTAGCCTTTATATATTTTTCAAAAACCTCTCACATCACCCTTTGCAAGTGGTTATCCCTCTCTACGCTCCTGACCTTTATTAGAGGCCAGGGAGCTTAAGGGTTCTGCACTGTATCTTTGCTGACAATGACGTGAGAAATAATGAAAAAAAAAAAAAAAAGATCAGATACTGGGGAACCACAGCACCTCATTGGTAAAGTTTTTACTTCGGAGGACGCTACTCTTCCCTTTTTTCCTCTCAATCCCCCTCCTCCACTTGTGTGCAGGGATTGCCAGGTCTGCTGTTTAGTGTGTGCGTGTGTGAGACAGTAATATGCTAACATAATAATAATAGAGTTTCGACTGGGTGGTTCCTTTGTGATTTCTTTCCCAATGAGAAAGTAATCCGGCTCAAAAGTATCGATACACACTGATACAGTATAAACACTGATATATATTATTCTTCTTTCTTTCCGCAGGTCAGACTCAGCCATCCTGTACAACGACCGCTCTGTGTTGGAGAGTCATCATGTGAGCGCTGCCTATCGCCTCCTGCAGGAAGACGACGAGATGAACATCCTGTGTAACCTCTCCAAGGACGACTGGAGGTCAGTGACACACAGTGTTACCAATGGGACGTGAAACCTGCTGTGTCCACCAGGTCTCTGCAGCTCTGCGCGCATACAGGGCTGAAGAGATTTATTTATAGATACAAGTTTGTGTTTAACCCTTTCTACAGATCCTCATGATGACCAGATTGTTGAAAAATCTGTAGAGAAATGAAAACAGAGACAGCAGCGATCTCAGGCACTTGACACACAACAATGTTTTTATATGATGTATATCTGTTTGTTCTGGGATTCTGACTTTTGTGTTGTCTTAAGAAACTTCATATACAGATTTGTCTGCTGTAAAATGTATGTTTATTTTATTTATTTTTTTGTGACGACTTTTTTTATCTAGTCCTCATGTCTGTAACAGTTTACTAATATATTAATGTGCATAAGAACAGAGACATCATTGCTTGTGCTATTAATGCTTAAGTTATCGATTATAGTAGCAGTGTCAGACCAAAAAGACGTTCCATTCTTGAGATAATCATTTTCAGTAGCAGTTCAAATATAACCGTTTTTTAATCAGATTTCACATACTTATTTGAGATATATGTGTTTACCTAAGAAACCCAAATAAGAACCTCATTCTGGTCTCTGATTGGATGATCCACGAATACATATTGTTAACACTACTGTATTTAAAACTAAGAATAGCTTCACTTTAAACCAGAAAACTTTTGTTCAGATCAGGTCAGATATGATTTGTACATCTAGGGACCTGTTATCTAGGGAAATATATACTGTAACAAATGTAGATGTAATTTTAAAATAAAAATCCCTTTAAATCATATATATATATATATATTCATTTGACTCCGAAAAAGATCTTAAACAGAACTGAAGATGCAGAAATATTGTCTTTTTAGTCAACTTTTAAATCAAGGTTTGTATAGAAGACGAATATGCAACAAAAATTATAGTTCTTCAAATACTTTTTAAATCATTGTACATATTTGGTATCAGTATTTTTACTTTAATTTGATGCTGATCTTCACTACTCATTACTCAAATTAAAATCATAATTTAGGACAATAAAAACCGCCTTCACGAACCATCCTTTGTCTGCAGCAGTTTCAGTCGTGTTTCACATACCCGAGTTCACTTAAAACACGTTCATAGAAGTATTTGTATTGTACAGTAGTCACTCACTGCAAGACCTTTTGCAGAAATGTCGCTTACAGACTGTGACAGAACTGAAAAATACGCCCTTAAGATGTAAAGATGTGAACATACTGTACATCCAGCCATAGCCCCATGCCAGTTTAGAATTCAGAGACATTTGAGAGGGATAGTTTAAACAGCATGGACAGTGTTGCCCTTTGTATGAATAATATACACACTGTAGGTCATTGAGCTGGTTCCAGGCCATATATAGAACCATAGGCCATCGACGAATAGTTATTCTTTGGTGAAGATGAGGCTGGTGTTGGGTGGAATGACCAAATGTTAGGCTCACACAATTCCCCCTTAAAAGTTTATAAACTAAAACATTTATTTAGGAACTCGACGTGGTTATATTTAAATATGTTTTGACATTGTATTGTTATTTTTTCATTTGTGAGTTACGGGGGCGAACTGGCTCTGATTCTTCTCCGAGCATTGGACTGAAGTGAAGTGGACTGAAGTGAACTGAGTGGACAGTATTATTATGTTTGTGTCACATTTCCAAGAGCTTGTTTGTGATTTTATCAATTAGTTAGATTTCAAAATAGAGTGAGATACAGATGGTGCATGTTTGAGCTCATGAATGTGTAGTGTCACATTGTCACAGGTACAACAAGAGGTGGAAAAAACAAACTCACAGAAACATCATACAAAAAGATCCTACCATTGCCAATAAAAATCCATCAGTAGAATTTTCTATGAGTATTCTGACACTAAAGAACATTATTGCTTCTGAGATGGTTTCTGCTGTGTTTTGTTTTCCTCTTGACACACTGTACCTCGTCTGCTCTGATAGCAAATGAAGGCTTTTGTGGCAACAGTATGTATAGTTGTATTGCATTATTGATTTTGTGATTTCGATTAAAGACATGGGTTTATGTTGTATTCCAAGCTACAGAATGCGTATGAGATCTATATGTACTACCACAATGCTACTGTAATGCAATGTACTATTGATTGGACATATAAGCAGTCGCTATAACCTCTTCTATTTCTCTGTTTTCTTTCTTCAGAGAGCTGAGAGCCTTAGTTGTGGAGATGGTGTTGGCCACAGACATGTCCTGTCACTTCCAACAAGTCAAAACTATGAAGAACTACCTGCAGCAGCCTGAGGGGTTAGTGCCATTTCTATCTACTTGTCTCCTCGGTCACTCCTCTCTCCTCTCTTCTCTCACGTCTCTCCTCTCACGACTGCAATTTACATGCCCATTAACTCACTACCATCATGGCCAGTTAACTTGGCACACGCGGTTTACAACCTAATTACCCATGCCCTGAAGCGCGCCGGAAAATGCCTGTACCAACTGCATCAGTATTTTTGAGAAAGCAGTTGATAATTGAACAGCAATTTTCAAGTTTGTCGTATGCAAGTTGTGCTGTGAAATTGGTGCATTAGAAGATGATGAGGAAACAAGTTTATTGATAAAGTACAGGGGTGGCTTGTTGGTCAGATCGTAAGGGCCAAAATCTTCAGGTGTCGTCCTGTGAACACCAGATTAACATAGTTTGGGTAATTGGATAAAGATGATACTAATAATATTTTAGACCAGTGCGCAACCTGTACTTTACAAATAGACATATCTTGAGTTACAGTATATAATAAATATACTAAGATATTATTTTCCCTATGTTGAACAATCTGAGTTTAATGTTTGATAAGATGTTTTTGTTTTGCCTTGAAATAAATAAAATACACCATAATAATTACACAATGCATATAGAGAATGGATTGAACATCATCCATAAGTGATTCTGCAGTAAATACTTTTGCATAAAATAGAGTTGTCATGCCATGTTTCTCTTCATTACGTTTACTGTATACAAAATTAAGAAGACAACCTATTTTTCATATACACACACACACACATACATAGAAGACTCAGCAATTCAGTTGAAGTGCCTATACCTGAAGTAAACAGTTTAACTGCAACCTCCCCACAGTTTTTGGATTATTTGTCCCTTTTACAAAAAAAGTCTGTCCATGAACCAAAAAGATATGTGTTTGTAGTCCTCAGGTTGTTGTGAAAAAGACAGACATTTCCATGTTTGTTCTCTATCTTTTGGAAAGTATTACAGTAACCCACTGGTCACTCCGTCACCCCACCCCCTGCAATTTAAATCTGTCCATTAACTTGTGCCCCATGCTGTTTACAACTCAATTAACCCGGTCCTGAAGCGTGTCGAGAACTGCCCAACCCAGCCTTGGTGTGCAAAGTGTAGATTATGCCAAAAAAGGTGTCATTGGACAAAAATATATCCATGGCTGTAATGCGGCCCTAACAAGAGCAGTGTTCATGTATTTTACAGTGAGGTGTTACTATGGGGCTCTGAGGCACAAACAGTGAATGGTGTTTGTGTAAGATTTATGGTCCTGCACCTCTAAAATTGGCAGAAACGGATTTATTTGGTTTCTGCTGCAGAAAACCGACCAGAGCTCCATACTTGGCTGCAACAGAACTTCACAGGCAAAAAAAGTGAACTTGTCTTGTCACTGTGAGATTGAATTCAAGGTGATGCTTAGATCTGCCAACATACATCCACTTTTAAATGTTAAATCTTATCAGGGGAAAGGCCAATAAGAAACTTGGTAAATGTAAAGACTGCAAAATCAAGAGACATGACTCAATAACTCATGCAGTCCCCTAAAGTCAAGTTTTTGGAGAAAAACAGAGACAGGAACTACCTTCTTGTTTTAAACATTAAATGGTCTACTCCTTCTTATAGAATTCTTTCAAAACTAAAATATTCCAATTTAAAATAAAGATTGACCTTTATTTAACCTGGAAAGTCCCACTGAGATTTCAGAATCTCTTCCTCCAGAGAGAGGGAAGCTGTTGTACATGTTTTTAGTGGTAGGGGAAGGTGGTGCGCTCGGAGGATACAGACAGGCGAAAACAATCAAACACCACTCAGAAAGTCCCTGTCTGAAGGTGGAATCCAGAACCACCGTGCCACCCAAAGAATTAGTAATATAATGGGGAAAAAAACAACATAATAACATATTTTTTCACAGATTACCCAGCTCGATATTCACTCCCTCTTGAGAACTAATGTTGACCATGTATCTTTGCTTTTTCAAAGACATCAGCAGATTTGGACTCGTATATACTGTATATACCGTGGACTGGCTATTCCATTGGGCTTCCTCTATTCTTCCAGGATGTAAACAAACGATGACATTAGCCAAAGCTATGGAGGCGTAAAATTGTAAAATTCTATAATTGGTCTGGCTATTCCCCTCACAGCGGGTTCTCCATGTGCTCTGGTCAAATTCAAGGACATTATAGCTACTTATGCATTCATTAAAGCCATGGTTCATTGGAATCATGTAATTGATTTGAGGCACTTTCCTAATGTTTTGTGTTTCAGTGAAGCTTTGGTTGATTTTGCACAATTATCTACCACTACTGCGCTCTTTACAGGATGTTGAGGCTCTTCAAACTGTCAGACGATATGCAAATGACAGCTATCCTATTCAAAAAGGAAAAACATCATCTCTGTGCAGTGGCATCTCTATCACAGATATCCCATTTGTGTTTATACTGTTTGAATATTGTATGTGAGGTTTTAATCCTATATGTAGCCCTCCCACACCACCTTTCTGTCCTGGACCCCCTGCAGTTCGCCTACAGAGCCAACAGATCTGTAGACGATGCCATTAACCTGGCCCTCCACCACATCCTACAGCACCTGGACTACACAGTATGGCGCCAGTGTGTTTGGCTTGCTGTCTGTCTCTGCGCTCTTTTATTTTGATTGTGGCAATCCTAGCACTTGTTACAGCAAAAGTCAACTCTTTGCTGACTTATGATAGGCAGACGCTACTGGATATTCGCGTTTCGGCCCAGAATGTTGTGAATTTTGATCGTGAGGGACATGGAAGCACTTTCCCACCTTTCCTGTCTGGGATCCCGGCTTACCTCCGCTGTGTGCCGGCTCTACCTTCGTGGAGGGCGCGCCGTAGACGCCGAGGGAAGCGCAGTGGAAGGCTGGTGAAGCAAAAAGCTAGGCTGTTTTCTGCTACGGAGGATGCCCGCTTTGGATCAAGGCGTCCCGCGGTTCGCTACCTGGTTCCTGTGGTTGGCGCGGAGGAGGACGTGAGGATACGGACCCGCCGTTTCGCTTCGCCTCTACAGCGGCGAGGATTGAACTGTCACAATCTGAGGCCACTGCTCCGCGCGGGAGCTAATGTGAAGGCTCCGGTGGCTCCAGCCAGGATAGCGCTGGTAAATGCCAGATCGCTGGTAAACAAAACCTTTGTCGTGAAGGATTTTATTGTGTCCCGAGAGTTGGATTTCCTGTGCGTAACAGAGACATGGATCGGCGTTGGTGAGTCCAGTGCATTTTCTGAACTTTTGCCTGTTGACTTTACATATATCTCCACGCCAAGAACGTCGGGTCGTGGAGGTGGGGTAGCGACTGTCTTTAAAAAACACTTTAAGTGTACACAGTTCGCTGTGGATTCCCCCGTGTCAAGCTTTGAAATAAGCACATTTGTTTTGGCTTCTGATCCACCCATTCTGTGCGCAGTTGTGTACAGACCACCCAAATATAACAAAGACTTCATAAGTGACTTTTCCCATTTCTTGGCTGAAGTAGTGCCTAAGTTTGACCGAATATTGATTGTGGGTGATTTTAATATTCATGTGTGCTGCGCTGATAAACCAATGGTCAAAGACTTCCTCGACCTGGTTGAGACTTTTAACTTTGTGCAGTATGTTTCCGGGCCCACGCAGGAACATGGACATACTTTGGACCTTGTTTTAGCTTATGGCATTTCAGTATGTAATCTGGAAATTTGTGATGCGGTTTTTTCTGATCATATGCCAATTGTCTTTGATGTACCTCTCCTGTGCAATGTAAAACAGTGCGCTCCAGCGCGTCATTGTCGGGTAATTAACTCAGCCACTGTCGCTCAGTTTTCTGCTGCCTTTGACCAGTCCCATTTGGCCGTTCATTCTGGGTTTGACTGTGATAGTGAAAGTTTTTCTATTTGTTTTGATGCTGCCTGTCGGTCTATTTTAGACCATGTGGCTCCTCTCAGACCAAGGCGTCCCAAGCCGAGTTCTGAGCCATGGCTAAATGAGTCCACTCGCGCAGCTAGACGTGAATGCAGAAAAGCGGAGCGAAGATGGAAAAGGGATAGACTGCAAATTTCCTATCAAATCTTAATTGATAGTCTACACAATTATCAGAAATGTGTCAAATCTGCTAAGGCACGGTATTTCTATGATATTGTCACATCCAACAGGAACAACCCTCGTGTTTTGTATAGTATGGTGAATGCTGCTCTTAATGTCCCCCCTTCAGATAGCCTTGAAGCATCAATTATAGTTTGTGAAAAACTCCTGCACTTTTTTATAAATAAGGTTGTGGCCACTAGGGCCTTAATCGGCCCTACACCGGCTGGCTCTTCTGTATTTGTGACCTGTACAGCTGTATTTCTTCAGTTTGAGCCTGTGACACTCTCTTGCTTGACAACGGTGGTCAGTCAAATGAAGCCGGCTGGTTCACCGGATGATCCCATCCCACCGCGCCTATTCAAAGAAGTGTTTTTCACTATAGCTCCTTTTGTTTTGCACATTGTGAATAATAGCCTGATTAAGGGAGTGGTGCCTGCCAGTTTTAAACATGCTGTTGTCCAGCCATTAATTAAGAAGTCTGGCCTTGATTCAAATGATCCTTCAAACTATCGTCCAATATCAAAACTTCCGTTTGTGTCCAAAATCTTGGAAAAGATCGTCTTTGCCCAGCTGAAGTCATTTCTGGATGAAAATGAGATTCCTGAGGTGTTCCAATCTGGTTTCAAGAACCTCCACAGTACAGAGTCAGCGTTGTTACGAGTTTATAATGATATCCTGATGTCCACTGACTCTGGCCACACGGTGGCGCTAGTACTGCTGGACTTGACGGCCGCATTTGACACAGTGGATCATGAAACCCTCCTGTGTCGCCTTGAACACTCAGTCGGCATTCAGGGCTATGCTCTGGAATGGTTCCGATCTTATCTGAGAGATAGGAGTTTCTGTGTGAGAGTTGGTGACTTTGTTTCCTCCACAGCCCCCCTGTCGTGTGGGGTGCCGCAAGGGTCCATCCTTGGGCCACTCCTCTTTTC